AGATGGACTGAGACCCGCCCCTGTGCCCACTGCAGCCTCAAGACCCACAGTTCCTTTCAAGGTGCACTGGGCCCCTAGTAGTTTAATAAAAAATCAGAATGAAAGGAGCGTTAATGGAGATGCAAGCCACCTGTTATGGGAGCATGAGGGGAATAGTTAGGACTTGGGAAATCTATGAGACATTTTTAAACTTGACTTTTTAAAAAAATAAGTATTTTTCTATAATTTTGGTCTTGAACTTTTAGAAAATTAATATTTATTTTTTTAAAATTTTAATTGATTTCATAGAGAGGAAAGGAGAGGAAGAGAGAGATAGAAACATCAATGATAAGAGAGAATCACTGATGGCTGCCTCCTGCACACCCCACATTGGGATAGAGCCTGCAACCCGGGCATGTGCCCTGACTGGGAATTGAACTGTGACCTCATGGTTCATGGGTCAGCGCTCAACCACTGAGCCATGCTGGCCAGGCTTTCTTGAAGTTTTGACCAAATGTTAGGAATCTGAAAAGTGGTGTTTTAGTTTCTATTGTGCCTTCCTCCAAGGCAGGGGTCCTCAAACTTTTTAAACAGGGGGCTAGTTCACTGTCCCTCAGACCGTTGGAGGGCCGGACTATAGTTAAAAAAAAAAACTATGAACAAATTCCTATGCACACTGCACATATCTTATTTTGAAGTAAAAAAACAAAACGGGAACAAATACAATATTTGTATTTGCATGTGGCCTGCGGGCCGTAGTTTGAGGACCCCTGCTCCAAGGGGTTCAAAAGTTCTTAAAGTGAGATTTGAGTAGATATGGCACCTGTATTTTGAATGACACACCTGCCTAATAAGTGATGTTTTATCCCTTAAGACTAGGGTGGCTGACCTGGTTTGTTTGGTTGTCCCAGGATAATTGGTGTTCTCCCTCTCTTGCTCAGGAGTACCCTGGTTTGGAGGAATATTTATGTGTCCCCAAATTGAGATAGCATGACCTTTTAGAGGTAGATTCCATATGCCAAAAATATGATGAAAATATCTTTATATTTTTGTTTTTTTTACACTCTTTTGTTTCTACATAGTCTGCTATTAATATACCAAAATACAATTTAAAAAATTCAAAATATGTGTAATGCCTTAGTCAAGAGATAACACTAAATATTGTTTATATTATGCAAATTTAAGAAAGTCAGTAGCCCTCCTTTGTACAAAGTATTTCATATATATATATATAATGCTAGATACTAAAAGTGTCTAGTTTTTCTCCCTTCTATTTTCTGCTTTAATTGAAGTAAAATATTATTTGAAAATATTATTAATTGAAGAAAATACTAGGGAGGAATAAGACTGCTAATGGTAGAAAATATACATTTGATTTAAAATTTGATTTTATTTTTACCATCACTATTTATACCTCTGTGCTCTCTTCCACTTCCACCCTCCACCTCACAATCACCACACTGCCCCGCACCTACCCCCTGCTCCCTGTACCCACCCCCTGATCACTGTGTCCTCCCCGCTCCCCTGCACCCTCCCTTACCCTGTGGTCCGGAGCAGGCTCGGTACCCAGCCCTGGTCGGTGTACGTGAGGGAGGCAACCAATCGATGTGACTCTCACATTGATGTTTCTCTCTCTCTGTCTCTCCCCCTCCTTTTCATTCTCAATAAAAACATCAATGGAAAAAATATCCCTGGGTGAGGATTAAAATAAAACGAAACAAAAAAGAGTTGATATTACTAAATGTCAGAGTAGGACTTACTGATTTTGTGCTAGTTTGTTTTATATAGTTCCTCTGCACCTTCCCTTCTCCCTGTGTATGTGGCAGGTAACTCCATTGATAGCTCCTCTGACTCTTGGATGTGCTCTTCAAGCTTGTTTGGTTGGGGAGCCTCACCTGGTTCATGTATAGTACACTAATTTTTCCCCCTTCATCATTTTAAGCATTGGTTTTTATACCTTGAAAATCTTTTTTTAAAAAAAATATATTTTATTGATTTTTTTACAGAGAGGAAGGAAGAGGGATAGAGAGTTAGAAACATCGATGAGAGAGAAACATTGATCAGCTGCCTCCTGCATACCCCCTACTGGGGACGTGCCCGCAACCAAGGTACATGCCCTTGACCGGAATTGAACCTGGGACCCTTCAGTCCACAGGCCGATGCTCTATCCACTGAGCCAAACCGGTTACGGCTATACCTTGAAAATCTTACATAGAATTCCCTTATGTCATCAAGTCCTTGATGGATTAAAATCCTAAGTGGAGCCTTAGAAGAAGGAATGGAAGTACTCAGAGCCCATGGATACAGTTCTTTTAAAATTTGTAATTGAAGGTGAGGCATCTGCCATGTCTATGACTTAGTGGCCATCTCACTTTGAGTGTCCAACTTAAAGATATTCTGTTTTCTATTCAAGTACCTTCTATATGATGATTTATCTTACTTTTCACAAACCAGTATTTTAGGAGCAAATGTCTTAAGAATAGATGAAGGAGAATGATGTTATTAGAAGAACAGAGGAAGAAGTAACACATGTACTAAGCATTTTTATATTGTTGCATAGAAGGCTAGATGACAACAGAGATTTGCATTGTGCCTGGAAAGTGGCTGATCTGCCAAGGACATTTCCACTTCATTTACATTCAGGTATGGTCATGTGACAAGTTGTTGCCAATGGAATGTGAAGTATTCTCTTCTGGGCTGAGGTGGTTAAGAGGCAGCTGCACCTTCTCCAATCTCTTTTAAAAAAAATTTCTTTTTTGTAATGTATTTTTATTGATTTCAGAGAAGAAGGTAGAGGGAGAGAGATATAGAAACATCAATGATGAGAAGGAATCATTGATTGGCTGTCTCCTGCATGCCTCCTATAGGGGATTGAACCTGCAACCTGGGCCTGTGCCCTTGGCCAGAGTTGAACCAGGGACCCTTCAGTCCACAGGCTGACACTCTATCCATTGAGCCAAACCAGCTAGGACTCTAATCTCTTTTTGTGGCAGTTTGTGAAGCCAAGTGTGGAAAGTGACAGTTACAAGATGAAAAGAGCCTGTGTTCTTGAATTACTACCAATACTTGCACAGGGATTGTATACAAGGACACTTCTGTTGTATTAAACCAAGATATTAACACAGTTTGGACTTTATCTGTTAAAGGAGCTTGCATTGCTCTAACACACATCTTAATTTAATATTAATCTACCTTGTGAAGTAGATATTATTTCTTTCATAGATGGGGAAGAGAAGTAACTTCCATTTAGGACAGAGCAGATCTGATTTAAAAGCGAATGAGTTCTCCATTATAACATGTTGAATCTTCGAGAAAAGATGTTAGTTGAGATAGAATAAATCCCAACCTTTCAGATTACAAATTTTAGTTTATAGCAGTAATTTTTTCTATGGACACTGACAAGATATTGGTAAGGTAAGAAAATTCTTAATTGTTGTAAGTGAATTTAGATTTTAATGAGACTCCTTTTTAAAAAAAATCCTCACCCAAGGATATTTTCCCATTTATTTTTAGAGAGACTGGGAGGGAAGGAGGGAGAAGAAGAGAGATAGAGGGAGAGAGAGAGAGAGAAACACTGATGTGAGAGAGATACATTGATTGGTTGCCTCTTGTATGTGCCCTGACTGGGCTGGGGCTTGAGCCTGCAACCCAGGTACATGCCCTGGACTGGGAATCAAACCCATGACCCTTTGGTCCACAGGCTGACGGTCTAACCCAGCCGTGGGCAAACTACGGCCCGCGGGCCGGATCTGGCCCGTTTGAAATGAATAAAACTAA